TGGACAAACTAGACTTGACGAGGAACATGCTCAAAAAATTTCATCAAAAAATTCCACCGGGAAGGTGCCCAAACGGGCTCGGCCGGACGGGGCAGCCCGTCAGGCCGGCCTGACATAAGGAGACCTATATATATATATATATATATATATATATATATATATATATATATATATATATATATATTCAAAATGGAGGGAGTAATCTAGTTCATGATGGCCTTAGCGTAGCTAACCTATGTAGTGCATAAAAATAAGGTATTGTTTGTTTCGTGATAAACTTCAGATTGATCACCTCACTTGATTTGTTTATGATAAAGAGTGGTATACGATTTATAAAAAAAATCTGCAATATTTGTTATCTGTACAGTTTCCTGTTTTCCCCCTTTTAGTAATTGTGACTTGTCAAAAAATTAAACCCCAGACAAAACAGGCACAAAGAATTTCAAATGGGCTATCTGAATTTCATTTTCATTTTCATTTTCATTTTCATTTTCATTTACTCCAGTGCCGCAAAGGTCGGATGTACGCCGTCTTACCCATATATTAAAGCACAGAGAGATTGTTTTCGGATGACCCATAGTGAAAATCGCGTCCAAAATTGCATGGACTGACTGCTGCTTCATAACAAAGAAGCGCAAACATTTTAGTGAGCCTAATTCATCATGTATAAGGGAACCTACATCACGAAAATCGATCCTCAGGAATGAAACTTCCATTCTTCTCAAATCAAAAGCTACATAAAAACATTGTTGCATTGTGATGCCCATAATACTGAGGTGCGTAGATTGTGCACTGGTTTGATCTCTACGATTGAGTGCTAGCTCAGTTGGTAACATTGCCAAGCAAAAGGTTTGTTCATTGATGTACTTCAACAAATTAACGATTGTTAATGTGATGGTTCCACCACCTTCGAATTTAAGAAGCACCACTGGAAAGTTTTGTAGATCTCTTTTCAAAACACCATTGTAGCACAATCTTGGGTACCCATGATAAAACACATAAATTGGGGACATGTAAGAATCAATCTGCCTTTTGATGGCATTTTAAACTTTTAACAATAAATCAAATGGAAAATAGGTGTACGTAGAACCGGGGTCAATGATCATTCCGCGGGTGTGGTCAATAATGTTTCTTCTATAAGTTGTTGGATTAAAGTGCACCGCTTCTTCTCCTATAATAATTCCTTCTAAGTTTATTATAGTGTCCAGCAAGATACAATTTAGTCTTGGTTCCCTGAGGATCAATTGCATTCCCTACCACTAATGTGTTGTAGGGATAAGATGCACTGTCTAGGTTTCCAATGCAATAAGCAAATTTAGAGGCCTTTCTTTGTGATAAAAAAGAAAAGGGTACTACGTGACGAGAGCCCCAATATCCCATTTCCTACAACGTCTGACTCATTCGCACAACCGAATACTACATCTTTCAAAATCTGTATACTCCTATCAACTTTGAAAGTTTCGCTCCCCAGAACTCCAAATGCACTTTCATTATTAGCATATTTTATGAAAAAGGTACATTCACTACGGTAGTTACCGCGCTTACAGTCAAGAACTACACTAATACCGGGATTATCACAGACCGAAGTATATAAGCATCTTTCTAGTTGAAAAGTGAAAGATTCATTTGGTTTATATATGGGCAACGGCCATATATGTGTAATCTTCGGTTGGGCCACACTTTACCCAAAGCAAGGAGGACCCCGTGTCCATATAGAGATATTGACCCACATTTCTAGACCCAACCCGGACATGGGCCATAAAGCCAACCCCGGATATTTTAGGCACAATTTCAAAATTTACGTCGGCACTACTATGCCACTAAAAGTTTCCAGTATCCCTACCCAATAGATATGATGCACGATAAAGGGAAGACTCTAATTCAATATAAGCTTTTTCTCTATGTGTTCTTAAGCTATTAAAATAGGGAGAATCTCGGGATAAGAAATATACTAGCTTGCTTCCCATAGTGTGGTCCCCTTCGGGAGAAGCAACTGGAAATGGCAGGACTTGGAACAAAGAAAAGATTATGATAGTGCGAAAAAGTTGGTTAAAAGAAGGCATGCTTGAATAGGATCGGAGATACGTAGTACTCCGTATTTTCTTTGAAGATTATTATGAAGAGGCTTTATAGAGTAGGTATAAACGCTGTATAGGGGAAGGATGATGGGGAATTTGCAGTTAAAGAGTAGGTTGGAAATGAAAATTGAATGGTTAATAATGACATAAAGTAATAATGAATATAGATATAGGTAGGCAATGAAAATTGAATGGGCAAGAATTATTCTCTATTTTGGGTAACCGAGGTCCTACTCATGAAGGGAATCCTATTGGACCATTGGTGTTGGGGTCATCTTAGAGATAGCTGAAAAACCACAGGATACACAGGAGGGTCAAGTGTTAGGATTGGTGATACTGATCTCGTTTGGTACTCTAATTAGGTCGAATTCCTTTTTTAAAGAATTAGGTCGAATTCTTAGATTTTGCAAATGCAGAGTCCAATTCGAGGGGTATTAAGTATTCAAAATTCTGAAGTTTTGGCTTTTGAGGGAATATATGGAGATCTCATCAATTCATTTTCCCGGGATGAATTTTTTGGGCCACGTCTCAATTTAGAGTTCCTATTTCAATGGTGGAGGATATATGGGACTCTAATGAAAATTAGAATATTTCTAAAAAATCTCTTCTTGTCACGAGGGATAATTGTTTGCCAACCAAGAATTTGAATACTCAAAAAAATATTTACTGAAAAAATAATTAAAGATCGCATCTTATGTGGACCAGAAGTTAAGCTCGCGTGGAACTTTGAAGACTTGGTATGTTTTTTTTTGGACTGTTTTCAGTCCCAAATCAGACTAGACAAGACTAAACAAGACTTAAATAGACCTGAGACAAGACTAGACTTGAACAGTTATAAAATTTACAGAGATCAGATATTTACCAGACCTGTTCAAACCAAACCAGACTAGACTAGACTTAAACACAACAAACCAGAACAGATCAGATCAGACCATATAAGCAAATTTCAGTCCAAAAGAAAACATCGTTGTTTGAGTGTTAAGGATTCTTTTTTCTCTAGGAGGAAAATTTTGGGGTAATTTGGGTTGGGTAAGGGTGCTTTCAGAAATATGGTTGGAACACTTTATTTCGGCTAGTGTCGCCAATATGGTGTAAATGTGGAATACAAAATTTGCGGTAAAACATTGGTCACAAATCAATTGTTTAGATGTTACAACTACATATTCTCATCCTTTCAAACAAAACTAAAGATTCTCATTTCCTATTTTGAAAAATAATTAACACTCTTAAATGATAGTTTAGTAATCAAATATTATGCCTATAATATCACGATTATCATCAATGACCTCATTATATTATATGTTATCAAAATAACTCTTCAAAATACACTTAAATAATTTCAATCAATATTTAAATAGTCGTGTTTTTTCCAACAAAATTTAACTCTTCGAAAAAACAACTGGATATATATAGTCATATCACCCTCTGAGCCTCACTCCAACATTATTATCTTCTTAACCAGCCTCTCCTCAACCATTTCTTAAAATTGTATGCAAAAAAAAAATGTTAATGAATTATTGAATACTAATATACTATGGCTAAAAAGTAATCAATTATCACAAAATTCATTCAGAAGTTACTACGGAAGTTTGTTGGAAGTATATTAGGATCCGCAATGAATAGTCTCTCCTCCGTTTGACACCTAAATTTGTGTATTTCCCCCTCTATGATTTTTACATTACTTGTGTTAAAACCAGTTGTACGAGTTCGGTTAATCATGAAAACATTAAAGTGAGCATTAGTTTTTTTTAAATTCAAGCAATAGGCTGGTGTAATTCATATGTAAAACAATGTAACACACATTAATAAAAAATGTAACTTAGAGTCAAGATAAAATGTAAGTGGTGTAAAACAAAATATAAGAAGTGAAACATTGAGTTCAATGTAAATAATGAATAAAAAGATTAACATAAATAGTGTACATGTTTTGTTTTTAAGAAAGATTTTTAATAAAAATCATTTTTGTTTGAATAACATGTGTTTATTTTGTTGTGTAATTTGTATTGTTTTGTGGTGTAATTTGCATTATGACAAATGTAAATCCATGTAAGCTAGATGTAACTTGTGCACATGAAGATGTAAATCCATATATTATCAAATATAATTCCATGAATCGAAGAAAAGAAGCTCAATATCTAAAAATATCTCTAGAAACATATAAAAGAGATAAAATTTATGCGATAGAAAAATGTATAAATATTAAATTATATTACAAAAAATTAAAAGGTAATGAATATAAAAAAATGAGTATGAATATGAAATCCCATAATAGTTATTTTATTTAGACCAATATATATATATATATATATATATATATTATGTGTGTGTATTTATATATTTATATTTATATATATACAAAGTATGATGAGGTGGAGTACGTGTTTGCTTCAAGGGAGACTAGATTATTTATTTAAAAAGGGAAAACTGTCAATTTGGTTCTCGTACTATCATAAATAAGTCAATTAGGTCCCCAGACTTTTAAAAAAATCAATAAACTCACAAACTTTTGTAAAAACGTTTAATCGAGTCTATTTGCAGGCTACTTGCCATTCAGCAGGTCACCCGCTGACGTGGCACACAAGTGGTAGCCCAATCAGCAGTGACTTTGCTTATGTGGCGCATGGACATGTGGAACTCTAGTCAGTCATTTGCTAATGACGTGACACACACGTGGCGGTCCACGTGCACGCCACGTCAGCTGGTGACCTGCTGACATGAGAAATGGCATGTAAATCGCCAACGTACTCAATTGAACATTTTTACAATGTTCGGGGATTTGATTGAACTTTTAAAAAGCATGAGAACATAATTGGGTTTTCCGTAATAGTGCGAGGATCTATTTGACAGTTTTCTTTTTAAAAATGGAGAAGATCAACTCAAAGTGGAGCAATAATCTCCAAGTCCCGTATGGGAATTTTCCAGGTGAAGTGCAAAGCAATAATTATGAGCGGTCGTGCTAGAGGAGTTACGTTCCGTAGTGCAGCTGCACAAAAAACAAAGTTTTAGATAAAAGATGTCGTTTTGTGATCAGTACACCATGAACATGGTAGGTCGATCTCACGGTATAGTATGCCTCATGAGAGTGTTTTAAATGCTTATTTACTATTACCATTAGTTGATTACTATGAATAACATCTAACTTTTATTAATTCCTCCATTTCTATTTGGATGACACAATTTGACTTCACAAAGATTAAAGAATTTTATTTACTGAGGGGTAAATGTTACTGTAGAGTACACTGTTTTGGCACAATTATACACTGTTTGACACTGTTTTGATATAAATTTGTTTACCAAATAAGGACATAATGAAGCGTGGCATAAACGAGGTGAAATGGGGGTTGAATAAAAAAAATTGAGGGTTTGCACTGAGAACTGCCCCAAATGGCGACGACCGGACAAAACTTCCTTTATAAGTGGGTGATTTGCACTTTATATATAAGTTCGAGAGTTTATTTGATAGTTTTCCGGCCATGGTTCTAAAAGTCGCCCAAATGGGACGCCAAGGCACCGAAATGTCGCTACTCGGCATGATTTTCCTGTTTTCGCTCCCCAAATCGCTCTATCGACTAATCGGCCGCACATAACGACTAGTCGCCCGAATAGATACACTGTTAGTCGGTCATGGCATAAAAAGACATGCCTTGTTTTAATTTTCCGATGAAACAATGCCCATTTTCCTGACGGAACCTCATGTCCTCATTTGACTCTTCTCTTCGAACGGCCATTGATGAGGGATGACTCCCTCTTCACTTCAATTTCCGGATGCCCCTTCTTCGTTGACTTTGGAACTAGTGCAGGTAAAGATCTTTTGAATGTCTTGATTTAGTAACTTTGTTATTTAGACGGATTGGAATATATGTGTTGATTTCTGTTGAGACAAGATACTTAATTGAGATAATTTGTTTGTAATTAGAATGGGTGTATGTGGGAAACGAGACTGAGTGATAAATTGAGAAATTGATAACTAATATTGGAAGGAAGTGTAAACGTGGTTATAGTGTTCGATAAAATTCCTTAAAGAAACTATGGAAACTTTGACTAGAAATTTATTTCATTTATCTTATTTTTCTTTAAAAAGAGTTGAGAGCGAGGTATAAGTTTGTCTACTTCTTTATCTTCCGTTCATGAATATATATGATGACTACCTTCTTGATTGGTAGTAATGTTATAGTATTAGGAAATTCAATAGTCTACTTTTCAATTGTTAAGCAACCTAAACTTAGTTTGGAATTCATTAATGCTCGAAATGGCTACTAGCTAGCATATTTCAAGCTAAGAGTTCAGTGTATTAAACTATTAACCCTTAAACATTATAGAAGGAGCCTAATTTGATTTCGGAGTTCAATATCGACATGGGTTTTCAGTCAGATGAAGAAGCATTATAATTATTGATTTTCCCTCAAAGATTTATTTTTTTTTTACAAAAAAAATTGTATATGCTACTCTGATCTTATTATGTTTTTCTTCTTGCACATGAGTTTATGAGGTATATAGTTAACTTTGGTACGTATTTTGTGATTTTTGTAATAATATACTCCGTACTACGAATGAAGTAGGCTAATTAAGAGTGGGGAAATTAAAGTGTATTAAATTGTATTCTAAAAGCCATAAAATTAAATGATGTTGCATAAATATAAATGATGTTGCAGACTTGCAGGGATCAAATGGATTAAAGATGGTGCACATTTTGGGATTCTGTGTATGCTAATGTCCTTTGATCATGTGGTGTATTGACATCTTTGTACTGTTTTTGTGTTAATACACTAGTGGTCGGTTTAACACTTTATACACTCATTGTGAGGTTATTGTAAAGTGTAAAGTGTTGTGATATCTTAATAAAAATAAGAAAAATGCGTGTACATAAAATGTGTACACATTTTTTTGTACACTTCTCTATCTCCCGCAGACAAGTTGTCTGTCCACAGACAATTGTACAGAGTTGTATGTGAACAGACAATAATGTAGTATTTTGTACTTAAAATATGTATCTATTTTTGGCATTTTGTTGAAACCGAATTGCCCGACTAATCGGTGACTAGTCGGCGCCTAGCGCGGAGGCGCCTTTGGTGCTAGTCGGTAATTTGCCAACCGACTAGCGCCTCGAGTTTTAGAACATTAGTTTTCCCTATAAACAATTTCTTCATAATCAATGAACACTTGTCAATGTATTTATCGCAAATTATACCGTGGGATCGGCCCACCTTGCGCATGGTGTGCCGATCCCAAACGGCGTCGTTTACTTTAGTAATAATTAGGTTCACAAACTCTTCTCTTCTCCGCAGCTCAACGAACTCTTCTCCCCTGTTTAACAAACTTTCCTGCGATTTTTCTCATCTCTTTTCAATGGAATTTTCGGTCGTTGATTCTGTTCTTCTGAATTCTTCAACTGAATTTCGCGATCCTTTGCCGTCCAATATACACGATATCGACATTCATTCAACCGGTGATAATAACTTGGAATTTGATCAATCGGTTGCTGTTGAATGGATTGGTAATTATTTAATGTTTTGAGCTGTATGCATTTCGTTTGTTTGTATGTGCAGTATGATATTCTATTTCAGTTCTCTTTTTTATTATTTGGCGTTGAAATATGGATTGTTGTATTCATATTAGTTGATTTTTTGTTGTTTTAGGTTCTAGTGAAGAAGATACTTGTTCACGTGCTTCTAAATTGTTATTTCTTCTCAGCAGAGGTAATATTTCTGTTATTTGATACAATTTTGTTCTGTTAAGTTTAGTTCAATCCTATGTAACTGCTTTTTGAACAACATGTAACATCTGTTTAATCGTATGTAAGCTTTTGTGAAATTGTGTGTAACTACTTATTTAGCAGTTGTTTGTTTTGATATGTACGATTTTAAAATTGTCAGATGCATTGGAAACTGTTGATCAGGCAACAGAGAATAAATCACTTGTTGGATTTAGTGTCAAATGTGAACAGGATGCTTATAATCTTTACAACGATCATGCTTTTGAAAATGGATTTGGTATTCGTAGATACAAACAGAGGTTTAAGAGTGGAAATGTAAGTTTGAGTATGAAGTCTTATTGTTGTTGGAAAGAAGGAAAGAAACTACAAAAGGGTACTGAAAATAAATCTTATACGAAGCTAGATTATCGTTCTGATTGTAAAGCGAAGTTACAATTTTCTATTGGTGTTGATGGTGACTGGACTGTTTCGAAGCATATTATTCATCACAATCATGCTTTTTGTGCCATTGGTCAAAGACATTTGCTGAAATCACATAGAGGTGTTGATCGTGAATATCTTGAGTTTATTATGTTGATGAAGGAGAGTGGGACAAAGGTTTCCGATATTCACAGAATGCTTCAAAAGCAATCTGGAGGTGTTAGTTCGCTTGGTTTCACCAAACGTGATGCTTATAATGTTTTGGAATCTGAAAGGAGTAAAATGTTTGATGGCACTGATTCAAACACTTTGATAGGTATATTGAAGAAAAGGGCTGAATTGGAATCTGATTTTTTCTTTGATTTTGATTTGGATGATGGTATCCTGAGTTGTTTTTTTTGGAGAGATGGGCATATGAAATCAGATTATGATAGGTTTGGAGATGTAGTTATTCATGATACAACTTATCGGACTAACAAGTATGACATGATCTGTGGTCCTTTCGTTGGTATGAATCATCATTGTAAAAACATAATGTTTGGTTGTGGTTTTATGTTGAATGAGAAGGTGGAATCTTTTGTTTGGTTATTTCAGACATTCCTCAAATCTATGGGTGGTAAACACCCCATCACTTTCATGACAGACCAGTCATTTTCCATGGCAGCAGCTATCAAATCTGTTTTTCCTAACGCAAGACACAGACTTTGCACTTGGCATATAGATGAAAATTCCAAGAAACACATCATGTTTCTACGCAAGAAGCTGAACTTTGTTCCTTTATTTGATTATGTTGTTAAACGATGTGACACTATTGCCGAGTTTGATTTCTACTGGACTGAGTAAGTTATTTATGTGTTGTAACATATGTTTTCTTTTGTGTAACTTATGTATTGTTTTTGTGTAACCTGCGTTGATTTTATATGTAACATTGTTTTTATTTTAAAAATTGGTTTCAGGTTGAACAAAGTGTATGAATGCAGTGACAATACATGGTTGAAAAGGCTCTACAGTCATAAAGAAAAGTGGTGTCCTGCATTTTCAAAGGATTATTTCTCTGGTGGCATTCTATCCTCCCAAAGAAGTGAATCTACAAATAGATCCATATCTAGAAGACTCTCAAAAACTGCAACATTGTGTGACTTTTACAAAATGTTTGGTGATATTGTTGAGGAATGGAGGTCAGAGGAAAATGGTCAAGATTTCAGATGTTCAGAAGGCACTGTTGAGATGGTACTGCTGCAAGATAGTTTGTTAACTCATGCTAGAGATGTGTATACCCTTGAGATCTTCAAACTGTTCCAAGAACAATATTTGAAGGGTATGTCACATTTTTTTAAATTAGTAACACAGAATTGTCATGATTGCGTGTATCATGTTTGGTTGGACGGTGTAGATTTGATTAGACACAGCGTTACTTTTAATGCAAATGACAACACGGTGACATGCACTTGTAAGATGTTTTCAGAAGTTGGCATTCTTTGTAGACACATTTTGCGTATATATAACATTCATTGTGTGAAATGTATTCCTCGAGATTATATAATGTCTAGGTGGACGAAGGGTGCTATTTTGCCAAATATGGGTCGTTCTCATATTGAAGCACCTGATACTCTGTTTGGGAAAATATTGGAAGATTCTGTGTGGAGAGTTCAAATGACTAGGAAATTCAATACAATATTGGCTTCAAGTGCTAGTATTCCTGAAGCTAGGCAAGTATGTGAGCAAGGTTATGATTCTATTAAAAACTTCTTAGATATTCAGAAACGCCGCACTGCTGGAGATGAATCTGCTTCTGAATCGAGGACCATATTGGATCCTCCACGTTCTGTTCCTAAAGGTCAAAGAAATACACGAAAGAAAAGCATTGTTGAAAAACAATGCAAAATAGTCAAATCTCGCAGGTCCAAATCCCAACAAGTTTCATCTAATTCAAAACTTGTTGCCCAATCAGTTGTACAGGTATATTTATATATTTGTTAAATATTATATATTATTTTACTTTTTTATGACAATTTTTTTTTGTGAACAGGAGACTGTTAATTGCATGGTGCCACATGGTTATCTTGCTCATCCAGTGCATGGAATGACTTGTTTGATGCCTATGTTTGGATCTCCACAAGTTTTCACTCCATACTTTTTGCATCCAAATGTTGGGAATGAAATGCAAATTTAGTAATATTTAATTAGTATGAATGTAATCTGCTTGAACACTGGCTGTGGAGTTTTGCATTTTTACATCTTTGTATGCTCGTTTTACATTTATCAGTGATATTGTTTACATTTCATATACCCTTTGTTTACATTAGTCTTTCAGTGTTACACTTGAATTGGTTTATCAATAAAGTTTTATTAAGTGAATTAATTTCATTTTGATTTTACAAAATTTGCAAATTCTTTACTGTTCTTTTACACAAGTTATATCACTCGTATCAAATCAATGCACATTCCCTATTGTGCAACACATTGACTACTATGTTACATGAGTTTCATTCTTTTTTGGCTTTAGTTACAATGTCCTGTAACGTGAGTTACATTTGTTCTAGCCGTTGTTTACATCATCTGAATTTCAATCATACAAAATTCATATATAAGCAGTTTGCGTGGACAATATCTTAAACCAAACATAAAAGTTGTCCATAATACATGCATAAGCATTTTGCATTACAATATCACAAACCAAATATATAAGTTGTCCATACCATCACCACCTACTCCATAAAATGAAATAATGTTTTGACATAATTCAAGTCATCATGCCCTCCACAAACCAACAAATGTTTTGTCAGAATCATTTGTGTAGCTCCACAACATTGATATCTTACAGCGTAATGTACTCTTTTGCTTTTTTGAGAACAATGTCCCTTTGAGTGTTAAATTTGGACAATAATAATTGAGCAGCATACATTAGTCTCAACTTTTGCAGGGTTTCTTTTTGAGATTTCATTCCTTGCTTTGTAGAAGCCGGTGCAAATCCAGAATCCCATCTGTGTCCCTGCCCACGATATGTCTCCAAATGGCGTATGGCAAATACTCCACAGTCAGTATTATTGTCATTACTTCTCCATGGCATAATCAAAATTCTTGGAACCCATGTTGGTGGCAGTGAATCTGAAAGTTTCAGTTTCTCACAGAAGACTTTGAACCCCGCAACCTATACAAGAAATTAAATTAATGTATTAAAATAAAATATAATATATCATTTGTTATTTCCAGAAAAGTTGTATTGAATTTTTACCATATTGTTAAAAGTTTCAGCATATTTATTCTCAAAAGGCACCCCATCTGGAAGCATGCGGTTGTCTATCACATCAACAATGTTATTTTTTGGGTAAAAGCAGTAGATGTAGTAGTGCGCATGCTTGTGAATTGGAAACATTATCTGCAGTATACGTCAGTCATAAGTATTTCGTCTGTGTATTTTGCACAGTGAAATCAGTAAAATAAAACAATACAGAATGTACATAACTCATATAAGCACTTACATCATTCAACACCTGAAGTTACATGGTATGTTACACACTTTGCATATCTCTAATTATTTAATTCTTAAATTTAAAAAGCTTGATATATGTAGTTGCAACTTTTAATAATATACATATAAGAATTACCAAATGTGACTTATTTTGCTGTAGTTTTTATATTTATATATCCACATATATAATTTGAAATGCTAATGAAATTTACCATATCAAGATGCTTAACATCTGCTCCTGCTTCATTCATTTCCTTTTCCAATCTTTCAACCATGTTTTCAATTGGGTCACCAGAGGTATAATTAAACTGTGCCTGAACATTCAAATTGATTAAATTCAATCAGTATATAGAAACTGAAGTTCACTACTTTAATTTTCAAATTTACAAGAAAAAACTATCCATACATAGACTATGGTTGAAGCTATGAATGCACGCTTTGTAGTATTGCTTGACTTTTCTCTGTCATTCAAAATTCTTGCCCATGCGTCTATAATAGAGTTGTCTACACTTTGATCTTCAAGGGTTTGCAACTCCTCATGAGTTATAAACACACCTCCGTCATCGTGGTAGACACAATCACTAATAGAATAATATTTTTCAAACCAATATAAACTATTAATATAATGACGAAATAATATTTATATTAAAATAATAAATTATATAATATCAGACTTTCTTACTTCAGAACTTCTTTTGAAAAGGCATAGTCAAGTACTATTTTTTCTTCCCTGTTAAGATCCTTACACAATCTTCTATTATTCTTCAGAAATGGGGATCTGTAATTCACACATTCTTCACCTAACTTTTTCAGCTTCTTTCTTATATATGCCATCACGTCATCATTACTTTGAAAAAACAACATATTGTTAAGTTGATTTGATTAGTTAAAAATATTAATGAATTACATAAGAAACAAATAACACTTACCATTGATTGTTATCAGCTTCATTCTTTGCTTCACCATCAGCAACAGTCTTGTAATCTCCAGGCACCCCAACCTCTATATTCATTTCTTCATCAGCATCATTTCGATTCACTTCAGGAGTATTGATTTTCTCTCCTTCATTTACTCCTGCAGTGACATCGTCTTCATTGTTTTCATCTTCTACTGCTCTTGCGATCTCTGCGGTCTGTTCATCAGTCTGCTTCTGATTCTTTGGATTGTCATTTGCTTCAGGTTGAGACATGGTAAACTCAATGCCCAAATCAAATGAAGGCATTGAGAATTTCAGTAGTGCAGCTTTCTCAAGGTTTATAAGTGCTTCCATTACACCAGGTTCATTGAAGAAATCATCATCTTCTTCCAATGTGCACTTCTCAAACAATCTCTGATTCTCATTGGCCTGCTCTTTGCCATTAGCTTGCTTGATGAAGTAATCAGCAGTCGTCATGTATATCTTTTTCAAGATATCTGAGTTTGGGAATCTTTTTGAAATTGTCGATGGCAACTTTGAAAATTCAACAAAAGCATCACTAAACTTTTGTGCCACAGCTATAATCTCCTTCACACAATCCTATAAATATTATAATATTAGTTGTTTAATAATACATAAGATACATTGGTATTGAATTAAGTTACATAACAGAGATTTTAACATTACAGACTCCTTGTCAAAATCCTATAGTTATGTGACAATTGATTTAAGTTACATAAAATAGTCTTTAAGATCACAAAGTGTTGTATTAAAATTTACCTCCTTTGACAACATTTCAGCATCTTCATTTTCTTCATCTTCCTTTCCTTCTTTTTCTTCATCTTCATCTTCATCTTCCACTATTATTATTCGCTTTGTCACCTTCCCCAGACCAAAACCCACCTTTCTCTCATCTTTCACTCTCTTGTCAATTTTCTCCTTGCCCCAGATTCTAATTGTTGGGTAAGCAGTCTGCGTTATTTGGCCTTTGAATTGTACTCGGTCAAAGTAACATATCATTAGAAACAATAATGGTCCACTAAACATCTTTGATTGATTAGCTTGCCATTCCTCACATGCATCTATCAACGATCTTCTTGTGTAGTTGCACCAGTTCATCTTTGGTATATCAGCTACATTCACCAAAGATAGCAATATTTTAAAATTGCTTCTAACACTCTGGTTTCCTCTGATGAGGCAAGAGACTGTAAAGACCACAAAGTTTCTGATGAATCGGTCTCCAGAATCAGTATCTGCAACTATTTTTTCAATCATTTTTTATGTATGAGGGCTTCCTTTATCAATCCCCCATTCTTCCCTCCATTTTTGCAGAAGTTGGGTATACTCTTCAGTTTCATTCTTCGCATTCGCTTCTTGAACTTCAATCTTTCCTTTTGGCAGACCAAATACAGCTTTGACATCTTCATCTTCAATATCTAGCAGCTCACCGTTGGCAAGTTGTAGCTGTCCTGAAATTGGTCTAAAGTTCTTCAACAGAAACTCAACCAAATCTCCATAGAATCTTTCAAAGTTTAAATGCAGTAATCCACCGAACCCAATCCTTTCAATTGCTGCTTTTTTGTTGTCATCTAACAGTTTAATCAACTTTATGAAAGGGGCTGGTCCTACTCTTGTTCTGAGGTTTACATAAGGCTGCCTGTTGCCTCTCTCTACTTCTTCACATTCATTGTCTGATTCTTCAGATTCTTCTTTCTTCTTTTCTGGTGCTGCTTTTCTTTTTTTGCTTGTTGTTGGCTGATGATATTCTAGTCTTAAAATTGGTTCTTCTGTGTTCACTATCCTAGCAGCTTCATTCTGATGTTCTGTTTCATGACTTTCATTTTCAGAAGCTCTAGCACTTCTTGTATTCCTTATATGATACAAATATGACATTAAATCACATGAGTTACATACTGTCACACACAATTTACATAACAGTGAAATGAAGTTACATCATGGACAATCAGATGAACAATGAAATTTGGAGCACATGAGTTACATACTGTCACCCTCAATTTACATAACAGTGAGGTGAAGTTACATCATGGACAATCAGATGAACAATGAAATTTGGAGCACATGAGTTACATACTGTCACGCACAATTTACATAACACTGAGGTGAAGTTACATCATGGACAATCGTATGAACAATGAAATTTGGAGCACATGAGTTACATACTGTCACTCACAATTTACATAACAGTGAGGTGAAGTTACATCATGGACAATCAGATGAACAATGAAATTTGGAGCACATGAGTTACATACTGTCACGCACAATTTACATAACAGTGAGATGAAGTTACATCATGGACAATCAGATGAACAATGAAATTTAGAGCACATGAGTTACATACTGTCACCCACAATTTACATAACTGTGAGGTGAAGTTACATCATGGACAATCGGATGAACAATGAAATTTGGAGCACATGAGTTACATACTGTCACGCACAATTTACATAACACTGAGGTGAAGTTACATCATGGACAATCAGATGAACAATGAAATGTGGACTTAGTTACAGTCACAAAACAAGGCAGAGGATTTAGGTATTATTATAAACAAGTTACATAATTTTAAGCAAAGTTAATCTGTTATTATTTTCAGTGAAATGCGACACTATATTACAAAAAAAAAAAATTCAGTGACATAATAAGAGGCATAACAAACATATTGACCGATGCAACACTATATTATATAAATCAAAGCAGATAAAATATTTCATCTGAATTTCGAAACATAAGCAGTTGCAGATTATGAAACGAACATTGCTTTATTCACAACTTCAATGTTACATGCATTTTGATATTTAAAGTAGAATAGCAATCGCATTGTTTAATAGTTCGATTTTTGGTTATAGTTGATACCTGACAACAGATTTGCTTCTAGACTTAACCATCTTCAATCTGTACACAGATACCGAAGTAACCTGCCGTCGATGGTGTTAATCCCTCACTTAATCTCTTGTTTTCCTTCAAGGAGAGGTGGAAGTGGAGAGGTGGAAGTCAGCGATGAGTTTTTGAGAACTTGCTTCGTAGAGATTTTGCAAGAGCTCTGTAGAGAGAAGAAACTGTATTTTTTTTTTGAAAGGCGCAAATGAAACATCGGGAGATGGAGAGATTTTTTATTTTCGAAATTAACACCTGAGAGAATAACCGCTGGAGGGAAAAGGTGGGAGAGTGGGGCCGTTGGATTTCGTGCGCGTGTTTTTTAATTAAATGTAAACGCTGTCGTTTTGGAGTTGGGTGTATGATGCGGAACGTGCGTCGGTACCACGGTATAGCGACTGTGTATTTATGGATGCGTACGGCTTCTACACATTCTCTCTCACGTGGGAAGTGACACTATTGGCTGGTGTGACGTGGTGGACAAACTAACTACCCTTTAATTATTTCGCTATATATACGGAGTGGACAATGTTCATGTAAGGTAGGCATAAAAGTTACGACTTTTAGACCTCTTTCATTTGAAGTGCTTCCGGATCGAATTTTTTGATAAAATTTTGTGAGTATCTTCTTTATGAAATGTAGATTATGTCCACCAAATTTCAGATTAAAACTCAACCGGAAAGTTAGTTAAATAATTTATTGAAAAACATTGCATGTTTTACACATAAAAAAGTGGCGAAATACAAGGGGAGGTTCATTCAGATATCCATGGGACCCCATAATTCGAGCCTACTTAAATTTCTTAATATTTTTTCTAATTTTATAGGGCTCTCAAATTCAGTGCAGGATGACTCAATATCTCTTCAACACGGGAGTATATTACAATCCGAGGACTCCACATCCATATCGAAATTGATTTTTAATTATCAAATCCAGGCGGCAGATACCGTGAAAAACAACCATGTCTTCTCTTCAAGGAAATCTCTCGAGCTGCCATTAATCCAGGTTTACTCAGATGCCTCAGACGATTTTGATCATTCAGATGACTCACTCTATACGGATGACTTCTTGGGACATGCAACCGAGAGCGATCGCCGTCCTCCTATTTCATATCCGGAAGAAATTCGAAAATCGAAATTGAATACCACGATTTGCCACAAAGCTAATTTTGTAACTTTCGAAAATTGGCTGCCAACTGACAACTTGAACACGCAGCTAAAAATCTACAGGAAATCTCAAAAAAACAAGAGGCGTCACAACATGAGAACACATAAAAAACTGCACAATTTAAAAAATTTATTTAATTGATTTCCCAATTGAATTTTGAGCTGAAATTTGGTGTACATAATATACATTTCATGAAGAACATTCTCACAAAATTTCATCAAAAAATTCATCTCGAAAGCACCTCAACCATAAGAGGTCTAAAAGTGTAACTTTAGACGTACCTTACATCAATATTTTCATATCCTGGAGTATATTGTAATTGATGCGGCCAGCCTGCGGGCACACAAAATAGAAAGACTGCAATTTTGTTCACCCCTCCTTGGAGGGTGAACATAACCTCCACCCTATTTGCTTGCCATGTGTCAAAAAAAGAAATGAAATGTCAAATGATAAGAGCATCTCCAATGCTAAAGTGTGCACGGTGCACATGTGGCATGAGTGATAGCCACATAAATATTAACAAATAAATTATCTCTCTACTTATTTGAATGGTTTTATACAATTTTGGTAAGTTTTTCCCTGCAATGTCAACTGCAATGTCAACATTTAGACGGTCTCCTTGACATTGTGGAGAAAAACTTACTAAATTTGTATAAAATCATTAAAATAAGGAGAGAAAGAATTTATTTACTAATATTTTTGTGGCTATCTCTCATGCCACATGTGCACCGTGCACATTATACCATTGGAGATGTCCTAATATTTGAGCTATGGGGTGATGTTCACCCTCGAAGGAGGGGAACAAAATTGACTCAAATAGAAAGGAGTAATTGCTATGACAGCCTCTGCCCTCCTAACCCGCAACAGAGTCATCTCTCTCGTCATCATCTTCGCAATGGCCTCAACATCGACTGCCAGCGCCGCCGAAAGGGTCCGTTTGGAGGAGGATGACCACCGGATCCTCAAGGCCATGATGGACCGCTGCGTGGAGATATTCCTCTACCCGTTTTCGCCGCCGCCCCACAATGTGCCTAGTCCCGCGACTCACCATGTACAACTGCGCCGCACTCCTCCATCACCTCCGTGACATCGCCGGCCGCTACACTCCCGAAAACCTTCAAATGCTCTACGAGATTCCCTCCTTCGATTGTCCGTGGACCCGGTTCGGAGCGGGTACGGATCTGCCGTGCGCTATAGACTTTTCAAAACCCGGAGTCTTCGGCGGCGGTCCTTTCCTGTACGGAAAAGATAACAGAACGGAGATTCCTGCGGAGGCAGGGACGGATCCAGGATTTTGAGTCAAGGGGGGCGAAATTTTTCGTTAGTGTAGGGGGTGATTTTTTTTTTTTGTTAGTGTAGCGGGGTGAAATTTTTTCCCCTAGTGTAGCGGGGCGAAATTTTTTTGCTACTGTAGGGCTATTCGGCTATTTTTATTCAAAAAATGACATTAATACTTGCACATCCCGAACCGGCATTTAAATCTATTACATTCTAAGTTTAGACGATGACAAAGACATCAACCAATACATTTTTAATAATTTCTACATTGTTTAACCTCATGAATCGGTTATTGAATTGTAATTTTTGTCCACCAAGGAGGGTGGTCGTGAGTCATGACTCATGAGAAGTTTTCTTAATATTACAATAGTAGTATACTAGTATGTATGAGTTTGTTATTTTTAGAATAATATGCACCACATACACACACATATGGTGCATATTATATTTTAATATTTTTATTAATTCCATAATAATTTAAAGTTTATTATCCATGTAGTAAATTATTTTTAGAAAGCAAGAAGTAAATGAATTATGTAATCTAATGTCTATAAATATTTATATTTTGGATTCATTTCATGTGATCTAAAAATTGTGTAATTAGTGTGTCTGGTATTTAATATTGTTTGATATATGTTTTACAAAATCCTGTACTTGTTATCTAATAAAGATAATTAAACATTACAAAACTAGGAATTCTTATATAATAAGTATCCTAAATCTTAAATAACGAGTTACTCTATTGTTTATTTGTTTAAGTTATGTAAATTATTTTAGATGTTTCT